GAAAAAAGCCGCTTAAATTGGGATTCGGATTCGGAACGCAGAAATAAGTATAAGTGGTCTCCCACAAGCAAGACACAGACACCCAACGCGTCGGATGTGCATAGATGAGCACTTGAATTTGTGGCAACACTAAAATCCGGGAATAGTAGTTGGCGAATATCAGTATCAAAACGGACTGGTGGGGAAAGTGAAATACGGAAGACATAGAAGATGGTACTTATGCGTTGAGAGAGTCAAAGTTGGTCAAGGTTGGATGGTTGACAGTGGTAAGAAGATCGTGATATCGTTTGGCGGATAATTTTGGGTGCTTTTAACTTCTTTCTCGCTATCGATTACTTAGGTTGTCTAAGGGGCTCCAGTTTTCCTGGCAGTCTGTCTATCGCCCGGCTCTGTGCCTTCTTCACCCTTTCACAATGATGGTACGTTCCCCAAGCGCAAGATACATGTTCAAAAGTAATGCCGAATCAGGTCCTGCACCAGAACTCAAATTTCGGACCTTGATCTCGCGAATGACCAAAAGCCACATTGAAACCAGCCTACTGTTCTTTCGAACGTCACAGGCATCCCGTTCCACTCCTCTATTTCTCAATGAGTCCCAAATTCTCCCCCCTTTATCCTATCCAGTCGCTATCCAGACTTTACTCGAACTATAAGCCTCCGAGCAGAAAAAGTTCCTCTTTATGTTTGAACAGACAGCCAACTTTCTGGCAGTAAGTTTCAGTTCCCGAGACGATACCTCTGTTACTACCAAACTCACGGATTGTAAAGTTGTCAGGCTAGCCTGTGACAGTTCTTTCTATGAGGCTAATAAACGGTTAAGAAACGTGGTCAAGGTGGTTCTCCCGGCCTTAATCGATTAAGCTATCTTCTCCTCTGAATAGGCCAACGTTTTTGCTGTCGCGGCCTAATCAGGTGATACTGTCAATATCGATGGTACTATTTGCGTGAACAAACTTATAAAGTCTACCTAGACAATCAATGATACAGGCTGGCTTTGCTCTGTCGACTCCATCTGAACAGACAGAAAGCCTTTCGGTAGGTTTCAGTTAAGATAATGTTGTCTTCGCCACCAAACTCACACATTGTAAAGGTGTCAGACTATCATGCGACTCATCCGAACCACTGATAAAGACCCGGAGCTCGTCTACTTTGCGAGTGAGGTGCAGGTACCAAAATATGCGATCCTCTCGCACGTATGGGAAGAAGAGGAAGTGTCATTCCAAGATATGCAGGATCCAACCAAGAGAAAGGACATGAAAGGGTGGAGTAAGATTGTGGGAGCATGCAAGCTGGCATGCAGCGAGAGTTGGGAGTACATTTGGATTGACACTTGCTGCATTGATAAATCCAGCAGTTCCGAGCTCTCAGAGGCCATCAACTCAATGTACAGATACTACAGCAGAGCACAAGTCTGCTATGCCTACCTTACGGATGTGCAAAGTGACCTTCCCAGCCGGTCCTTTAACCTCGCTTTCCGCATATGCAAGTGGTTTACCAGGGGGTGGACACTGCAGGAGTTGATAGCGCCAACAACAGTTGTCTTCTTCATGAACGACTGGAAGAAGATTGGGACTAAGAGGAGCCTGCAAGATATTATCACAGAGATTACTGGGATCCCATCAGAGGTCCTGTTGCAGGCCAATCCGAAAGAGATGAGTATTGCGGCGAGAATGTCTTGGGCTGCCAAAAGGAAGACGACACGCATAGAAGACAGGGCGTACTCACTGATGGGCATTTTTGGTGTTTACATGCCACCAATCTATGGCGAAGGAGAGCATGCCTTTGTCAGGCTACAGGAGGAGATTTTGAAGGTGTCTGATGATCAGACAATCTTTGCTTGGGACTCACGACATGACACTTACCGTGGAATACTCGCCATCAGTCCAGATGAGTTTGAAAGAAGTGGCCAGTATGAGCCTTTCCAGTCTGAGATTCGACGGCCGTTCACCATGACCAATATCGGCTTATTAGTCCACCTTCCTCTCTTACCTATCAACAACTCACGACCACAGAGACAACGGTTTCTGGCTCTTCTGAATTGCAGATCGAAGACATCGAAGTGCCTGGCCATCTATGTGAGCATCTCGGACGAGCACCAGTACGAGAGGGATTCGTCGGACGTGCTTGTCGAAGATGATGCCATACTGGCCAAATGTGGAAAAATCGAGGGGAGCCCACAGGACTTATTGTTCAAGGCGTGGAATGTTCCCGGTTTCGCAACCCCTTCCTTCGCAAGGAAAGCTCCACCACAAACAGCAGTCTCCTTTTCTGGTGGTCAGGGAATTAGGGCTGTTCGCGTAAACGACTCCAACGGGAACCGCCCTGTTTCCGCTAAAATCACTGGTACTGCAGATTACAATATGGGACTTTTTACGCTGTATTATCGGAAACCGTGCATCTTCCTCTTCATTCATGACCCGACCCACCGGCCGTTTGTTGTCGTAGCTGGAGACGGCTGGTTGGACCTTGTCCTCGATTTCGAAACGGGCGAGCCCGATCTCGAGGACATTCAGCAGTCTTACAAGCCTGGCAAGCGACGTGCAGGCATGCCCTTGAAGAGGTTTGACAGGATATCAAAAGTCTTGACAAATAATGTGGCCGTCCTCGTTGAGGAAGGACACCAGAACAAGAGAAATATGCTCAACATCTCCATCGTCGACAAAGTTTACCTCGACGTAGCTCCAGCCGTTCATCCCGTTCGGTATGTTTTCGTTGTATCCTTCTCCAGCGTGATCAACGCTGGATTCTCCCAACTGGAAACATACCCCAGCAATGTTTGGGAGGCACGGAGCAATGATACCATAAACCTTTTCTTGGATGATGGCAGTACCTTGGGCACCCTCTGTTTCCAACATAATCGGGGCCAACGCAGATTTGCGGTCACGTTCGGATTCCGCGACAAAACCACATGGTCAGATGTTGTGAACACATGGTCCAGGGAAACTGCAAAGGATATCTGCAACTCGTACTACGATAATGGGAAACGAAATGCACGTACTGAATCATACGCTCTCGACCGTCTAGATGTTTGGGGCGCACGATTCTCCGTTCGCTCGGATGCGATCGGAAGGGCTCATAACCAGTACAAGTCCGAAATCGAAATCGAGGTCCACTCATAGAGCTCGTACCATATTCCTTTGGCCTCTGATCTCGATATAAATCATACATATGTAACTGTATGGGCACAAGTAATACTCAGAAAATAACATATAACTGAGCCAGAGGGGTGGAGTGTTCTGATGCTAGCAGACCAAGTAGCAGACTCACAGTTTCAAGATGTCCAGTGGCTAAGGAGGTTGAGTAGTAACTTTTGTAACGTTCCCTGATAATATGATCCACGACGGAAAGCGACTCAATCTGAAATCGTCATTAGAATACAGTACATTAACTATGGAACTAGCAGCAGGACACATTATGTTTGGGCATACAGGTTTGGGAGGGTTGCTAGAATTCCATCTTCACAGTACATACTAATCCGAGATTGAGATACGATGTTTCTTGGACCTTGTTTTCCAAGAAATGCTCCACTGCTCATACTTAGTGTGGTGCTAGTTGAAGGAGTTTAGTCGATGGCAAACACAATTCTCGCGTATGTGGAATCGGGAATCGGTAGTACTCACGTTGTAAATTTCTTCAACAAATTCAGCTCTGTCTTTTTCGTATTTCTTCACCTCGGCCTGCTCACCATTAAGCCGCATCGAATTCCATTCAATGTATATCTTCTTGAATTCTTTGTATAAGTATTTCCCCTTTGAGTCAGCAGGGAGAAGGAGTTTGATATGTTTGTCCGACTTGGGCACCCACACATCGAAGGCACGACGGTCTGCGCAACTACTGGAATGGCAGTGAAAGGTCAGTATGTAATGAACTTACCTAGCTCGAGGTACTTACATTTCTCTATAGCACCAATTACAGATCCTTTTTCGAAGTATGATGTTGGGTTTTTCGACGTTGTGACCGCATACCTAGTATCCGTACGTCGTTTAGCATTCAAAATGATTCGTACAAGTATGAACTACTCGCATGACAAACTTTCGCAAAGAGCAAGTGTGCCCAAGCCGGTTCTGACATCCCTACGATTGGCTCCAAGACGCCGTGTATCACTCGAGAAGTTCTCCAAACAAATACGGCGCTGGGATTCAGCAAGAGAGCGCGAAAGTGACGATTGGTCCTGACCATCAGTAGAAGAGTTTTCGGAGGTAAGAATGAAAATATCTATCAAGCACAGGTTAACTATGCCTTGAAGGTGGTAGGTGTAGGACAGGACAGATACCTCGAGCGCCACATCCATTGGTAGCTTATTGAATATACTGAGCGATCGTCCAGCCTTGGCTGACCTTTTGCTTTGGGCTAATTTGCGTCGCTTAGGCGTCAGAGGCTTCTTGGGTCCTGAAATAAGTGGGGATGAGTGAACTCGGAAAGGAGCATTAAAGAGCATACGGTAGTCTTCGTCACCACTATCCGACTCTGAATATTCAGACTCAGAGTCTGACGATCCATGATCATCCGAATCGCGATCTTGAACAGATTCCTCTGTATTTGAGCGTTTACGTTTGAGTTTAGGTTGACATTGATTATTGTCCATGTCTCTTCCTGAGTGTGGCATTGGGAGTTGGGGTAACGAGGGAACTTGAGGAATATATGCTTTTATAGAGCCGAGTCAGTTGTCCTTTTATGTATTGAGTTGAAGTCGTCGCAACCGTAACTCTCTCTCTCAAAAAAAAAACATAAAGACACCAAAATCAGAGTATAACTTGGTTCCCATCATCTTCAAAGAACTGTGGCGTTCTGTGGCGTTGCAGTCCAAAATATAAACAACACTTACGTGGATAACGGAGCCGTGCAATATACTACTAAGTACTTCCACACAGTGTAAGACATGACTGTCATAAAACTATAGTGAAGGTTTGCCTAAAAACACGAGGAGGATTAAACAATGCTCCCATGTGTTCACCCCCCAAAAAAACAACATAATGCTTAAAGGGCCATCATCTCCGTAGTGCTCCCTGCAAGGCTCGAACTTGCGACCTCGAGATTGAACGACGCACCATCGCTCGTATCATAGTGATATGAGACTCGCGCTCTACCGACTGAGCTAAGGAAGCATCGTAAGCCCTGCAACAATTTGATCTCTTGATGTAATATTCACTACTACTGGTGAAAGCTATCGTGATATATCCCTGCTCCAAGGGAGGCTATTCTGAAAGAGTACGAGACAAGGCTCGTCAGAAATAAAGCATAGGGATTGGTCAAAGACCGATTCGATATTGGCTACACATTGACCTCTGCAAATCGTGGAGCGTAAATCGATGAGCGAGGCTTCGATAGAGCCATAGTAAAAGTTGATGAAAACAAAAATGTGGAAGGGGAAGTTAAGGCTATAGGCAATGGGAACAGATGATAGTGATGTAAGATATCCTCAGGTGTGAAAGCTGATTGTAGGAGATATTTGACAGGGCCAGAAGGCAGACAGGAAGCGAAATAGATTGTTCGGTATGGTGCGGTACGACAACGGTTGTCAATTCTACAGAATACGAGCACCTGCAACGAAGAGGGAAATGAGTAAAGGATCGTGACAAATGACAGCAGATAATGAATCAGAGTTGTCAAGTTTGGAGCCTGCCCCCGACACAGTTGTCGAGGTATACACCATGAAGAAATTCAATTGAAAAAAATTGAAGCATCATCGAAAGAAAAGGAAAGGGAGGCAGACGTACCGTCAAACTTCCCAAGCCTATGCATACCAGTAACCACATGCAGACAGAACACCGAAGCATTCAATAGATCCAAAAAATGTTCTCGTCGAAAGAGAGTGAGCCCCATTGAGTTGAGGACGCCAAAAGTCGTCGACAATCGTATAACTATATCTATGAGCAACAAATATCCATATTCCTCCTTGTACGCTCATATCTTCGCGTGTTAGAAGAAGAAACAGGGAAACAGAGTCGGCAACGTGGAAGGACGCTACGCTCCAGACCAAGCTTGAAGAGTGTAGCAAGAGCCATCCAGCCTATTCTCACCCAGTACCGCCTAAAACACAACTTGGAGGACGGTTGCTTTCCATTAGAAGGATGAGAACACCGGTGAAGGTACTCTGTATCTCCGGGGACTTTCCCCACAGCGTAAAAAAGAAAGAAGAGGGTGAGCTCTGGCTTTCTGTACGGAGGCTGCGAAGACGATTCTTCAGACGACGAGAGGTTGAAAGAAAAAAATTGGGCGGCAAATTTGACTTTATGGTCTGATTAGGTAATCATTCACACGCTCGCTGTAAATCCTGTTAGTATCTTTGAACGAAGCGATATACTAGTGATTAGTTTTTTTTCTTTCTATCGAGGTTCAATTATGAAAATACCGACGCTTTTTGATCACTCAAGTATTAGTCTATGCGCAGGTCCTCCGTTCCGATTCCCGGTACGGCAAGAACGGCAGGTCCGGGTAGCAACTTTGGGCGCTTAAGTGCTGATTTGCCATCTCGACCTTCGTTGTCGCAGCGCGTACTCGCCGTGTTACTCTTATTTCTTGCTTAAAGTGACTCACTCTCTCTATCTATTGCTGGAGTATCTACAAAGCATATTAACACCCACTTCCCTGTATAATGTCATCCATTCCGGCCAAATCTTCAAAATGGAGCAAACTCGTCTCCACAAACCCTGCTCGTGTCGTTGCTGCTCTAAGCATTAGTCCTACAGGTTCGTGTCGCAAAACTTGGTTCAGTGAAATGATGTGAAACGTACACAGAAACAAAGTCAAATACTTATGGCGACAGTGGAGAAGAGTTTATCTTCGCAATGGATGCTGTGAGGAAAGTTGTGGAGGCAATGTCTAGGCCCATCGTCTCGGGTTCCAGTAATGAAACTGAGCAGGAGAGAAGACGAGAATGGGATGGGCTTGTGAATGCTGGAGCTACCGAGGCCTTATGTCGGAATGTATGCGAACTCAAGGCGGACAATATGGCTCAGAATGTGAGTTAGTGTTCTGTGACACACAAAGTGGTCTCGGTGACCCTTTATTGATACCCCCCCTCTAGGCAATGTCCTCATTCTATCCGCCGTTCGTTATGCTTTACTTTGCCGCCTTGGGATTCAGTGACGGGCCAGACGGAGAGGGTGTTCTTTCGGACACCGATAAACGCGTGTTAAATGTTGTGAGGGACAATTGGCGAGAGATGATCAATCGAGTGAGCAATACGCGTCTAGTATTTCCTAAACATTAACTGGCTTTTATAGTGGTGGACTGACCCTCAAAATACTCTTCAACCAGACAGTTCACATGAGCCTGAACGTTTGGTCGTTTCCCGTCTATTAGGGAATTTACTAATGCGCGATTCAGCTGTATATTCGTAAGTCTCCAACCAAACCTTTCATCTACCCGATCTTATACTTCGTGACACAGAATCATCTTTGACCCTTCTGACCACACCCTCTCCCTCCTCACCCTCCACTGGGTCCACGCCCACTCTCCTGCCATAGCCCGCTCGAATATGGTGCTGCTCCGAAGTTTAATCTCCTTCACTTTCTCTCAGAACGTCACAGAATACCTCAAGGACAACGCAAAACCATCACTTCCTTTCTTCATGTCAAAAATATACGCCGGACTCAGTAGCAACCCACAATCCCAGTCTCAACCTAACCCAACCCTTCTTCTGGAAACCATGTCGACTCGACTCACACTGGGACCTCCAGGTGACCCAGCACACGCATCTTATGCAGTCGAGGATCTAGCATTCTGCCATGACTTGTTCATCGGCTATCGCGAGTTGAACGAGTCTGACGCTTCCTCTTTCGGAGACGCATTACGTAGTGCTGAAGCGTACTGGGGAAACGCATTCAAGCTGACACACTCCGCATCTTCTGCCTCCTCACCCACACCCCAGCCGCAAGATCAACCGCAGAAGGAAGTCGCGGTCGCGATCCTAAACCTCGCCGTCAAACTTGTTTTACAACGACCCGAGGCGGAAGTGGCAGCTATAACAAGGGTATGGCTCCGTACCGGATTCTTTGATACACTGGATAGTATGATGGGGGAGTTGGTTAAGATACCGGGTGTTTCGAGTAAGTGTTCGCCTTTTGCTTAGTTAATAACTCTAATTCTTTTTTTTTTTTTTCGTAGGACTACTAGTATTCCTCTTCACGTCCCTCAAGGAATCTGCCCAAGCCGGAGTCGAGTCAGGAGACTTTCCTCCAGACCTCATGGACGCCCTTAGGGACGAGTTTCCGAGACAAAAGATGGCTGCTGCCGTTATCAAAGTTGATATGGAGACCCAGCAACAAGATGGTAAAAGCCCTTCTACTAGATCGTTTGGGGGATCGGGGGATGATGAAGTCCCCGATGCCTCTGATCCATTATGGAACAACGGGCTTTGGCAGGCAGTGGCATGGTTACATGGGTTGTGTCGGGATCCGAAGGTGTGTTGTACACGAAGAGGATGTGCGAATCGCGTTAGGAAGGAGGGAGAGGACGGAGGTGTGAGTCTGAGGAAATGTTCTTCGTGTAAGGAATTTGGGTATTGTGGGGCTGAGTGTCAGAAACTGTACGTTTCTTTTTTTTTGATATCTGTGGTGTGATTTTGAATCGGTACACCCGCAGAGACTGGAAAGAACACAAACATCTATGTAAATATGCCTCTCCGTACATTACTGCAGTGAATGCTGGGAAGAACCGGCTCACCAAGTCCAAGGCTGTTGAAATGGGTCTAGTTCAGCCCGATGAAGATGATCCATCAGGTTCAGGGAATACGACAACTATGGATCGTCTGAACACACTGTACGTTCTTTTTCACTGTGTTTAGCGTTGGTACTAATGTAAACTTCACAGGTCAACTTATATTACGCCCCTTTTCTTTGTTATGTTTGTTATTGCTGGGCAGTATTTGGGAGTCTTCGATGGGTTAGAGAGTTGGTTGTATAGAGTGATAAGTTGAGTGGTAGATTAGTATACTTATATATATCAAAATGCCATTATTATATGCCATGGCCCTATTGAGGCCGATAAAGCGAGAACGGTGGTCGTACATGTTTCTAATGATCCTGGCAAGCCAGTAGCAAACATTAGGCAGAGCGTCCCCGACTATCGCCGTCTACTGTTATCATCATCGCCACCCGAGTTCTCCCCCGCCTTCTTCCAAGCATCGCAGAGCTTCTCCCAGCTTCTCATCGCTAACTGAGCGGGCTCGTCAGTGAGGGACTTTTCCCATATCCGATGACCGAATTTGGTAAACGTCCCTGACGAAACGTCTTGCGAGAACAGCTCCAAGGCCCGCTTTGAAGGTGCTAATAGTTTGTCGATCTTCTCTGATAGTTGAAAGGCTGACGCGGGAGAAAGAGGAACGAGAGCCGAGCCGTCGCTATAAAAATTCAGTGGTTTGCAGGAATAAATAGGCGACAGACATACAGATAATTTGGCGGTGGAAGTCGTGGAGGCTGTTTATGGCCCCAGTACTTTTTCGCCTCTTCTCCTGCCTCTCCTTGCAGGCCTTCTTTCCATATTCCCTCCTCTAGCTCAGGTAGATTGTCAACTCCTCCAACACGCTCGAGCCAATCTTGGTATTCTAGCCATTCCTGCTTCGTTTTCTCCCGCCTCGTTTGCCTTGCGGCTAGCTTTGAAACGTCGAGATGCATACTGGAAAGGTGTTCTAGGGTTCCGTAAACATTCGAGGAAGAGAAGAGATAATAGCCTGTGTTCCAGAAGCGGGTATCTGGATTCTTCGGGTCGAGATTCGGGGGAAAAGGGACAGGTTTCTTCTCTGGTGACGAGTCTTCAACATTAGCTGTGGCCACCTTCTTCCCCCCCAGAATCCTTGGAACGTGCGCTGCCTGGCCCTCAAGCGGCAATGGGTACTTGGCTTTCATGTTTCCGTCTTTGTCTTTCTCCATCTGGACGTTCGAATGTCGTTTAAAAGATAGTATATTCTGTACCTCGTGTGGAAAAACTTTGCGGATACAGATTGTGGAACATTCGGGCGGGGTGCCGTGGATTCGTCCAGTTACGGATTGATTGCAGTATGTAAAGCACCATTCGTCTGCAGAGGGTGAGAACCGGCCTGAAAATGCAGGTTAGTACGGTAGATGCATAGATTGAGAACTATGACTGACCTTGGGGCGGCATG